AGACGAGGAGGGGGGGGGGGGGAACCACAAACACAGTGAATATTACAAAAACTATGTCAATGGGGCCAGAGCAGAACATCTTTTCCACTAGATACATATGTTGATTTATTTTGGGCAAATAATACCTGAAATTTTTTGCCAAAACTCTCTCGAATAAATGCTAAGACTGTTCTGACTTAGAGAATGGCCTTATGGATAACACAGATACAATCTCTCTCACCCCACATGTTCTTAACTTCTGGTTGCACTTTTTTCCCTAATTAGGGCCAGAACTGTGATGAGAATTTTGTGTGAGAAAATTCTGTCCTTCTGCAGGCTTCATAGAATCACCAAGTAAACTAAGCTGTTCCACCTGCATCTCTGCTGATGTTGTTGTTTAAACTCAAAGTGATTTCAGGTCCTCAAGAAATTTTTAAAAATGAGTCAGTAGTTTTGGGGGGAAAGACTATCAGGAGAAGGTGGACCTGGGAAACAGATGAAAAAGGTTCAGTATCATGAACATAAACCTTTTGAATTTGTGAGTGGACTTTTCTGAGTATTTCTGCTCTATAAATAGTTACCATCTAAGATTTTAAACAGACAGTATCATGAAAAACAAATAGGAACCTCTGAAACAGTAATTCAAGCCAGTTTACAGGACTCCACTGTTTCATTTGCCTTCAGACACTGGTGGAGGCAGGTCCAGTGCTACCAACACAAAGCAACACCACAGAGGAACTCTTGATCTGAGCTTTCACCTCAAGTATCATGAAAAGTTTTGCCTACATGTAGGATTCGCTTTTTTGGCACCTTTGATGGGTAGGAGTGAAAGACTGTCTGACTTTGAGGCAAAGAAGTTACTAGAAACCTATTAGACATTTTCTTTCAGCAAGAGTTCCTAGCATGGTCCTCAGAGCAATATTATGCACAGTTTAACAGTTTCTCATTCAAGGCTGTGTCCAGCCATTCAGAGTGTGGGTTTACTGCTACCTCTAAATACTGCAAAACCGTGCTCTGAGTCTGCTCACAGCCTGCAATCCTAAACAGATCACTTCTTACCTTCATTTAGCCTGGTCCACCAAGATGAAGGAGAAAGAGTAAAAAAACCTGTGAGCAGTATCACTTAGGGACATAATCCCTAACAGTTTAGTTCTATGGGAGAAGTCAATACTAGTTTGCTCACTGGGACCCAGAAACAAAAATTCATTAGCTGAAGATGTGATGGGAGCTCTGATCTGCAGCTCTGCATGCAGCACTCAAAAAACATTTTGAACGTAGACACAAGGCAGAGATTTCCAGATCAAAATACCCCATGTAGGTGTCCACTGCATCCTACTTGTCTATGGTGTCATTATAACAAGTGAAACTGTCGTTAACGAATCTTACAGGGTGAATTAGTTCACTGTAAAATACATACCTAGAGTAGGATTCAGTGGCCTAAGCATAGGAGAGCCTGGAAGACATCAGCCATGAAGACATCTACATAAAGGTAGTAGTCACAAGGACTGATGGGAACTGGAGGACAGAGAAGACACCAACAGATGCTAAAATGGCACTACATAGATGCCTATGTTTAAGCTACTGAATCCCACTGCTAGTGCCTGGTCATTCCAGTCCCTCTGTAGGCTCCACAAGTAGTTTTGAGTAGGCCTCCATTAATCTCAGAAAACAGAGATGTCTTTATTTTGGTGTCTTATTTCTTGAGCTTATCCTATCCAAAAAGCATGTGCTGAAACACTTAAATCTGGTTGACAGTTACTTCTAGAGTCTGGAAAAACAGAGGTACAGCCAAATGTCTTGGAGAAGAGATCACTGTGAACTATCATTCTGATGGCAGAACATTTACACTTTCCTTTCCTGCCAGCAACTACAAGACACTGAGGACATATTTACTAATGAGCAATGCAAAGTGAAGCTACAAATCCATCCACCCCACAAAGCATCCCTTATCTTGATTTTTCTCTGGGTAGAAACTGCCAGAGGTATCTATTCTGGAAGAGGACCAGATGGTCCCGAAGTACAAAACAAGTCAGCTGCCTCCAGCGTGGTGTTCTCTTCAGAACATCCAGGAAACAAGATGCAACTTACAACTCCATAGTCTAATTTCATTTTACAAACACACACTTAATTAGGTCTAAGGCAACCCACACTATGATCCTTCTTAAAAGCAATGTCCTATGCAATCAGTGGAGTTGCTTAGGAAAGGGAGCCAGCATAAGCCTACATTCAGTTCACTTAGGTCTAAAGTGAAGGAGGGCCTTGTACCTTACTCTGATTAGGAGCAAAATTAGGGGCAATTAGGGTAGAATACAACAAGGAACCAGAAAAGTACTTTTTAGGTTTCTTTTTGTGTCCTCCCCAGCAAGAATAACATGTTGTTTGAAAAGACTCTCAGAATCTGTTAAAGGTCATGAGGTTACTCTAAGTTTCTGACGGTTCTTCAAATAGGAAATTATTTTAAAGTTATTTTTCCACTTCCAAAAATGTAGTGAACATTATTCTAATCCATGGGTGACAGTACGCAAAGAAAATATTTTTATTGTCTTATAGAATATTTATACCTTTTGCTAATTATTTTTACTGCATACTCTTGGCTAGTTTTCTTGTGTAAGCACTTTCGACAAATGGAAAAACTTCCTTCTCCCAATGGTTTCTCTTTCAGATCCAGTTCATAATGATGATAAAATGGAGAGTCCTGTTAGGAAACTGTCTGTATTTAGTTCTGCAGAATACTTTTAGTATACACAGTCAAAGACAAAGAGTAAAGTTTCGTAAGAATTTTTCATCTACATTTAAAATTATAAAAGAGCTCTCTTTTTGATAAAATATAATCTTAACTTCTATTTAATAAAATGCATAAACTTTATGCTAACAATTAAACAGTAAATCTTATGTTACATTAAACAAACATAATCACTAAATAAATCATTACTGCTACAATAGCTTAAGATACAAAATATTCAGACAAACAGGATCAAAGATGGCTGTACATACATTTATCCACAGAACTACGTGCTCATTTGAAGACATCACAATAGCATGTGGTCTTATAAGGCTTCACACAACTATAGATACTTTTAGGCAAATAAATCATAGAAGGAATTCAGATATAATTTAAGTGGCTTCAAAAATATCTACAATGGTTGGCTGAATAAGAACTATCAGGAGTCAAATTATTATTACTACTATACTTCAGTCTTCTGGAAAAACCAGACAGTCATCTCATTTTTCAGATTAAACTTCAGCCACTTCTTAATAGTATTACATGCAAATTATACGCCTAGATCATCTGAGGAGCCATTACAGAGAACAGATAAATGAATAATAACTATTTTGTACTCTGCAGCCTCGCTTGTGATTATACTTTGAAAGTTATATGCACTTGCAAGTTAATGAAATTAATTCAACTCTTGCTATGATTATTACCTTCATCATAGCGCTTCTGGCAATGGTTGTAGTTCCAGGTCGCTCATCCCCCATATAAAACTGAAGAGGATCTACCGTAGCTGCATTGCGTTTAAACAAAATAGAAGGTGCAACGAAAGAATATCCCTATGAAATTAAGACATCAGGAAAGGGCATGGCTTGAAATTGTTGCACACAAACTACTGCATACAAAACATTACAAATTTCAGAAGAATTTTTCAAAGAAATCAGCATTTTCATAATCTAATACAGAAACCGTAACTGGCTCATTGATGGGTAGATGTTACTCTGTTCAATGTGAGCAGGTATCTACCTGGGATTAGTTATATGATTCTCCACAGTTATAGGAACAGCAATAATAATACAAAAAATCTGGTAAATAATGCTAAAAATCTGGCTCAGATTCAATTGTTTTGCAATAGTGATGAAGGCTCATACTTCAAGCTTCACAGAACACCTTTAAGCTAAGGTGTGAAATAGTTTTAATGTTGTGATGTAAGCATCAAACCATTTTAAACAGCAAAACAAAGTAAGTCTCACATTAATGATGTGCCCAGTTTGGGTGCTGTAACAAGAACAACTGTGATACCACGGCAGAATGAAGCAGGTTGTATTACGACATTCATAAATCACTTGCTACAGTCACTCCAAATCTAACAGCTTCCAAAATACAATGATATATTCCTGTACACTTAAGCATTAAGCTGCTCAAAAACCAGCCAATAAAAACCACCAAAGCACAAGGAGGGGGAGGAAAGAATGCAATTGGAACTGCTGGTCATCTCCACAGCTTTGGTACTTCCTCAGCTACAGCATAATATGGACATGCCATTGCTGAACCAACAGCCCTGGGAACTGGGATTGGAAATTCCATCGTTAATTGCCAATAACTCAGAAGGCAGCAGAAAAAAAGCTAGCTATATACGTGGAACTGTTCAAAAAATAACTTTTTTAAAATTACTGTGAATTCTGAAAGTACCTGAAATATTCTTTCTGAAGTCTGAGGGGTGGCTGCAGGAGAATACGTTGGATCCATTTCTGTAAACTCTTCTGCAAAATTACTGACGTCCAGCTCATCTCTGATTACTGGTTTAAATGGAGCCGATACTTTTTTGGCAGCTAAATCATCCCAATTTATATTCTAAACCAAAAAAAAAAAAGGAAAAATTTTCATTTGATTCAAACTTATTAACAGATAACGAGATATTAACGGATATCGAGAAGAGAAACTTGTCCAGAAACCAACAGTCCTAACTCCATTTGCTATTTTCCACAATCAACACAAAGAAATTTAACAGTAGACAGAAGTCGAACAATGAGCGTGACAGCCTTTAAGTTTCTTCCTCTCTTTCAGAGGAAGCAACATTTATATTTTTGTAAGCCATAGTGCACACGTGCAGTATCTATATATGAGAAGAAATTCAGAAGTTAAAAAGCTAAGATACTGCCCATGCTGAATGGTATGATAATTACTCCAAAAATATTTATTTGAAAGGTTTAATTTACACTACCAACTTTAAAAACTCCAAATACTTCAGAAGCACCAGAAATACATAAGTTTTTTCAAAGAAAGCACACGAACAATTTTAACCGCAATAGACAGAACAGTACAGATATTGCACGCAAATCTGATCTTCTCCATTTTTTGAAATCAAATGATAATGCACTGAAAGCTGAACAGAATTAAAATCTACTAAACAAGAACTTTAAAAACTCCAAATACTTCAGAAGCACTGGAAATACATACTTAAATTTTTTCAAATAAAGCACACAAACAATTTTAACTGCAATGGACAGAACAGTACAGATATTGCATGCAAATCTGATCTCCATTTTTTGAAACCAAACGTTAATGCACTGAAATCTGAACAGAATTAAAATCTACTAAACAAGTCTAAATATTTAATTGGGCAAAGGAAAATACAGAAGAGGCATTTATGAGTAATGGTAAATTTTATCAATATTCAAATTTTACTAATAATGTTAGTGGCAAACTTTCTTTTTAAAAAAACCCCACAACATATAATTTAAGTGTTTTCCATTAAATGTTCTCTTTTAGTGTCTCTTTTGGCTGCTTCAGGCAACTGTTAGAAACAGACTCTACTAAATATCTACCATATCCTTCTTGTAGTAAAAAATCCATAAGCACATGGATATTCTTACTAACTTCAGTGCAATTATTCATGCAATTATCATGCCTCTAAACTATTCTGTTAGCAAAACAACAGAATTTCTTTCAATTTGGATTTTAAAGGCATTAACTACACACAACATTTAAGTGTTTTCCATTAAACCTTCTCTTTTAGTGTCTCTTCTGGCTGCTTCAGGTAACTGTTAGAAACAGAGACTCTACTAAATATCTACCATATCCTTCTTGTAGTAAAAAATCCATAAGCACATGGATATTCTTACTAACTTCAGTGCAATTATTCATGCAATTATCACGCCTCTAAACTATTCTGTTAACAAAACAACAGAATTTCTTTCGATTTGGATTTCAAAGGCATTAACGGGGAGAAAGTGGTATCTATGGAGTTTTTATTTTACCTGGAAAAAGGGATGCTGTTTGATTTCATCGGCATCAGTGGGACCACAACCGAGCCTCTTCTTGGGGTCTTTCATCAAAAGACGTTGAATTATATCCTTAGACAGTGCACTCATTTCTTGGGGATAAGGTGGTTCGCTTTTTAATATTCTCCTGTAAAACATAATTATTTGGTAATTACTTAATGTGTTGAATGTTAAATCAAAGAGTTACCATAATAACGGCAGTGTTTAACATGTCATTTAAACTTCTATTGTACCCAAAGACAGGAGGATGACAAACATGAAATCAACTTTTTTTTTTTTTCTTCTTTTAAATAAAGAAAGGTTTGAGGAAAAGCGGACATGAAACGTGACATCTGAGGAGATAAATTATGTAACGTAATCCACAAAAGAAAAAGAAAAAATCAACTCTCATTTCACGCATACTGAGCTTACCATTACTACCTGAAAGAAATCTCATAGCTACAACAGATGGCTTCAAAAAAAAATTAAAAAAAAAAAAAAAATCAACCTGATGCCTAACAGCAGTCAAAAAATCCCAAACAATTCCAATGTTAAAATTTATTAGAAAATAAAGAGAAAAAACACACACTTCGGCCATTTGAGGTTTGTCTGTATCTTGTCTATTGTGTGCAGTGTTCACGACCTACTCTCAAAAGGAGGCACTATAACTGGAAAAGTTTTATAGAAAAGTAATAAGATTAATCAGAGTGCAGTGTTCACGACCTACTCTCAAAAGGAGGCACTATAACTGGAAAAGTTTTATAGAGAAGTAATAAGATTAATCAGAGATAGAGAATGTGTTTCATAGGAAGATCTATGAAAAATGCCAGGACTATCCAGCTTAGTTAAAAGGCAACTTAATGGGACTAGACATAGTGTTCCCCTCAAAATGATGAACAGCGAAGAGAAATTGGTTAGGGACCTCACTGTCTCTTTCAGTACATGAACTAGAAGTCACCAAACAAAGCTAGTGGAAGTTCAAAAGCTTGGAAGCCTAAGTAGAATCACATTTCAATACCTATCTTACATACGTGTAGCTCCCACAGTTTAATATAAAGAGGAAGGCAAGTTTTCCTTCAGTTACTTCAAACGTAGCAATTGAAGTTCAGAAATCTGAAGGCAAATTGAGAATAGCTAGTGGAAGTTCAAAAGCTTGGAAGCCTCACATTTCAATACCTATCTTATATACGTGTAGCTCCCACAGTTTAATATGAAGAGGAAGGCAAGTTTTCCTTCAAATCTACTTCAAATGTAGAAATTGAAGTTAAGAAATCTGAAGGCAAATTGAGAACGAACACACAGACAACACATACCAAAGACATGTCTAGATACACACACAGAAGTTTTAGTATACAGAATCACAGAATGCTTGAGGTTGGAAGGGACCTTTGGAGGTCACCTGGTCCAAACTCCCTTGGCTCAAACATACGTTGAGATTGGAAGGGACCTCTGGAGGTCACCAGGTCCAAACTCCCTTGGCTCAAACACAGTCACCTGGAGCCAGTTGCCCATGACCACGTAGGATAAACGTGTTTCTTGATGTTCAGAGGCAACCTCTTACCAAGGAGGGAGACTCCACCACCTCCATGGGCGGCCTGTCACCCTCACAGGAAAAAAGTGTTTCTTGATGTTCAGAGGCAACCTCTTATGTTTCAGTGTGTGCCCACTGCCTCTGGTCCTGTCACTGGGCACAACTGAAAAGAACTTGGCTCCCTCCTTTTTCAGTACCTTAATCATCTTTGAGGCCCATTGCTGGACTCTCTACAGCATCTCTGTGTCTTCCTTCTACTGGGGAGCCCAGAATTGGACCCAGTACTCCAGATGTGGCCTCACCATTGCTGAGGAGAGAGGAAGGATCACATCCCTCAACCTGCTGGTACTTTGTCTAATGCAGCCCAGGGTAACATTTCCTGCCTTTGACACAAGGGCACATTCCAGGCTTGTGTACAACTTGGTGTCTATATATCTATATGCACACTCTATTTATCTGTATGCATACTCTCTCTATGTGTCCTCTCAAAATATGCAGAAGAAGCACTTAGAATGCCTCCACTAAACACAGACAAAGATTCTGAAGCTATGAGAGACTGTGAGGCTGAAATCATATGAGGTTGTGGCAGCACTAAAATCTGAATTGTTGTATGTCTCTGAGGGAGCTTAAGTTGATCACTGCAGGATATTTCTAAATGTTGTTTAAGGTTACTGATGACATATCCTTACAGTCTGCTATCCCATGGGAAATCTTTTATCTTCAAATACGTAACTTCTTGGATTACTCCAAAAATAGATGCAAACAGACTGTTTCCTAAATAATCTTGTCCTGCCAGCGTGGAAGGACAAAAACAAGTTCAATATGCACATATCCCAAGGGTTGTTTCTGCTGACGTAGTATTCAATTTCAAGCAAACAAAAAGACAAAGCAAGCAAACCTCTTGGTTTAAATAATGGTGAAATGAGATAGGACAACACAGGCTGAGATTTAAGATGGATTTACATCTTTACATGACTTAAGGATAATCCGCCAATAAGGGTCTAAATCCCAGCCACTCTGTCAGCAGAAGTAACAGCAACCATAAGCCTTGTCTTCAACTTCTGGACACACTTCACTTTACAGAAAAGGAGAAGAAAGCACAATATTGCCAAATGATTTCTTAATTTAAACAGCACTAAGCAGGAGGATTCTTACACTGTAGGACTGGTGGAGAAGTAAAGATTCAGCCTCTTCAGAAAACATCCAGTTTCAGAAAGGGGAAGTGGGTCAGGAAGTAAGGAAACCTTCCTCTTTAAGAGAGAAGATAGGACATCTTGATAGTAAAATTGCTTGATTTACAGGAGGGCCAACAAAATCTTCTTAGCTTGAAAATCACTTCAGTTAGAGGAGTCCAAGGAAATGTATTTTATCAACCTTTCTGATGACAGAATCAGAAAGGTATATAACAAAGATCCTGGAAAGAGACAAGTTCTCTTTGGGCTCTCAGAAGGGCCAAAAAAACCCATAAGCCAATATTTTTTAAAATTGATTTCTAAAGCAATGGGATTGAGACTCTGGGATGTCCTTAGAATCCAGGAGAGAAACTGTAGCACATTTTCCTTTCTGAAAAATGTCAGAGATTACAGATGGGCAAGTCAGATAAAAATTTGAAAATGTTGTGGAAACTGATGCGGAATTGGAATGACTGTTTCCCTAATTAACATGGGTAACAGAACAAATGAACCCAGTTCTGTGCAGCCTCAGAATATCAGTGTTTGTAGCCATATTGCTGCTAGTGAATGCTAACAATCAGAATCTTCCCCTTGTCTCGGGCTTCTGATGCAAATACAAGCATTCGTGTAAGAAAAAGAGGGTGGAAGAAACATAAGCAGTTAAAATCTTTTATAGAACCCCGCGCTTATCCTTCTAATTGCAAATTTCCAGTTACATATTGCATGTCTTGGGTCAGCATGAGAACTGCAAGAAGTTGTACCATTGATGTGGTAACTGAGCAGAGACTTCCAGCTGAAGCCAAGACAGGTTTATATAGGTTTACAGAACTTTTCCCATTACTTGACTTTCTGCTCTTTGGGTAGAAACCACTCCTTAAATTCTTGGGGGAAGGAAGCTCCTATAAAGATCACATCTGTCAAAAAAAATAGCATAACTATTTTGCCAATACTAGTTTGCTATAACAATGTATTTTACCTAATGGAAAACTTCCATGACAACAGCATCAGTAATTACTGCCTTTTCCCAACATTTCGGTTTTAAATTCTTTCCCTTTACAGGCAGAATTAACCATGAAGTGGTATTTAGCTATATAAAAAGCAAGTTATTACTATATTGAGGGGTATGTTCCATCTGTTGACCCTCCTAGAGCCCACTGCAGGGAAGGCAGCATTTTGCCCTGTTGCAGAAGCCGACACCACATAAGCTGCACTTATAAATGCCAGTGGCATTCGTTCAGAAATACTTTTGAGGTTGATTGATACTATAAAATATTAATGATACTCTGGTTCACAGAACCACACTACAGAAGCAGTGAAGAATGAAGTTAATTTATTTAGAAGTTCCAGGAACTACTTACAATTGAAGTACACGAAGCCCTATACACATTAATTAGGATGGAAAGCAAGCTGCCAGAAAAGAAGGACCATATGGGATGAAGATGTGAGAGAGCAGAAATTGGTTAAGACTAATCAAGTAGCTTGATTAAGTAAAGAGAGTCTGGCTTCACTAGTACAACTGAAGGGTAAAGTCGCTCAAGGCGACTAAGAGTAGCCCATAAAGTGATCAGAGGAAGGGAGCTGCATGTGTCAAAGTCCCTCCCAGGATTTCTGTGCTTTTGAAAGAAGCTACGGCCTTTTAGCATTAACCATCATTTCCTTTCCTGAATCACCTCCATCCTCTTGTACTGGACAAAACTTCAGGCTCAAATTTAACAGCAGATAGCCATTGCGCCACACAAGGGAATAAAATTATCTAAAAATATTGAAGATTACTTTCCAGCTAGGTAAAACAAAAGAAGGACCTGGATTCATTTAGAAAATGACTTCTTTCCTTAAAACTCAGAAGAATCAAAGGCCATGGAAACTACACTTTCAGGGCTTGTGATAGAGTAACAGGAAACTGAATTATCTAAGTCTGCTGCAATTGGCAAGTTAAAGCGTATTTAGGTTAGAGAACACAATTTCTGTTTAGAATAACTTTGCCATGAAGAAAGAAGTTTATACCAACTGGTGTCTCTCTGCCAGGGCTAGTGATTTCATTACCAGTGGCAACTGTAAATATCTGATGAAATTATCTACAGTTCAGTTTTTCATCAGTTTAGAAAGGAAATGAAACTAGAAAGATCAAAGATAGTCAAGGAGAGAATTTGAAACCGATTTAGTTATAGGTGTAAAATTATCTAGAATCTACATCCCAATTCAACAGAAAACTCTACAGAAAAGGTTGTACTCATAATCAAAAGAATTAACAATTTATTTTTTTAAAGGACATCAAGTGTAAACTGCAAATGTATCGTGACAAAATTATTGAAGAAAAAAAGAAATAAAGATTGTAGCTTCTAGGCCAGACAGGCTTAGGATAAAGACAGGTACTGAAAATACAGCTTTTATTTCTTCAAGGAGCTCAGTGTACTGACACCAGAGAAAAATACCAGGAGGGCATTTCTGAAAAGTCATGAATACGGTAACAAGAATTTCTAAGTTGAACAAGCCAGCATGTCAGGAAGGATGGATTATTTCTTTTGGGCATGCTCTCAAGCAAGTAGCTCAACAGCTTCCCAAGTGTCAGCAAACTCTACACAGTCCCCATCTGTATAATAAAACTATAAGAATTTACCTTCTAAATTTATCAAAATGAAAGCTGAAAGACAACAGGATTGCTGTCCATAAATGTGTAGCATAAACACCAACCAGAACCAACGCACAGTGAGCAACACCACAGTAAACTTTCCACTCCTGTATTTAGAGTCAGGAATTAGACTATTAGCAATCAGAGGATGGGTGCTTGCAACCTTGCATTTTCTCAGCTCTGAATTTAATCTTAAAATTAATCAGAAAGATTAAGATATTAAAGAACACAAAAGGACCTATCAAAAGACAGTCAAATTCTATAGAATACATATCTGAAAAGTTTACCAGTTTCTGGGAAACTCCGGTCAAGGTTCTCTCTAAAAAAATTCTTAACTCCTTCAGAATTCCATTTAGCAAATCTTGGAAGTCAAAATTACCAATTCAGACATGGCATTAAGTAAGCAATCAACAAAATTTCTCAAAATTTCTAACCGTCAGAAAGAGTTAATTTAAGTTTTAACTCCGTGATAATGACCAAGAGGGTGGATTCCCCTCCTCGATGTATTTTTTCTAGCAGCTCTTGAAGTTTCCTGTTCTGGTAGAGACCTAGAAACCAATAAACAGGTCTCAAACTTCCAAGAAATTGCCTGAATTTGTAACAGAAGCAAAATAAATTATCTAAATAATTGTTGTATGTTCTGATGCCCATTATAACCTTAAATATCAAGTGATTCAGGTAAGAGTCAGAACCATGGTAATACATTTCAACAGGAGCAAGACTATTCTTAGTTTGGGGACTGGATTTACAAGCTCCTCTTGAAGGCTGTTACTAATTGGTGCAATTTAAGTCCTCAACACCCTGCTCCAAGAGAAATCCAGTAACCGGAAATGTTTGCTTTCCTATTGAGAAATAGGGGAAATGAAATATGGGGAGATTTCAGTAGTGTGTTTTAAGCAAGCTTGTTGCATTGTCTTTAAAATGGTCCAACGCTTTTAGATAGGTACTGAAAACAAACCTTTGAAGTCTAGAGATTACTGAAGGTAACAACGCTGATAATCACAAAAAGCTTACATGTAAAATATAAGAATGACACAGGTTATTTCATTTCCCCAAGTGTTATAATAGTTTCTTATGGCTAGAACAGATGGTGTTGTTTCATGTTATACACTAATAAAATAAATATTACCTCTATCAAAATGGTGGGAGCAGGATACATCTGACTCTTTAAACCCGTGGTCTGATGGACTGATCTAGCAAGAGCTGACAAAAATCTAGCTAAAAATATGTTTCATTATGCATTAAGATTTTGAATGGGATAATTCTATTTACATACTAGTTTCATATTTAATTTGAGTTCCTTTTCAAGAGTAAACATGCAACCGGGTTCAATATCTACAAAGCTGTGGTTCGACTGTGGTTTAAACAAAACAGGTCTTTTGTAAAGGTCAGTTCTATTATTTCAATAACCTGTTGAGGTTACTAAAACCTGTTTCCAGATGTCATTGTGTTAAACAGAACTAGAGCACCTAAAATGTTACCCTGGTCCCACTATATTCCTAAATTTTAGATTAATACTCTCACAAAACATGTATTATGGCATAAGCATCACTTTGTGAGCAATTGTGTGTGCTTCACTGGTTTGAATCTTACCTAGAAATCTCTGCTTGGGAATTCTTCTCTCCATCAACTGTAAATGGTGATGCTCCAGTTAATAATTCATACATAAGAACACCAACACTCCACCAATCAACAGCCTACAGAACAACAATAATTACCTATGTTATGACATGTTGAAGTAAAACTGTTAACAAAAGAAGGAACAAAAGGACACACCCAGAAATCAACTAGCAAGGGAAGAGCCCATCAATACAAAGGCAAACATATCTATAATAAAGCATAAACTACAGCAGTACTGATTGTGGGAATTTTCTATGATAAATTAATTTTATTTTGCAATCTCTCTACTTACCTTCTTCAACTAATTTCTCATACTGAACTCTTTCAACTGAATATGGAAGTTGCTTTTTTTTTTCATCCCTCAGAATTCATTTTTATTTTTCCTGTTGTGAAAGGGTAAGAATTCTAAAACGTACTCAGAGTAACAGAGGAACCTAAGCCTTGCTATGTAGTGGAACCTGAGCTGTTAGGAGCTTGAGAATGAAACTAAGGAACTTTCAAAAAGCACAATTTAAGAGTACAAGTCACAGTTCATCAGGGCACATGAAAATGCTGTGGAACTTTATCTTATACTCCCTGGTAACGCACATGATCTTTGGCTTCCTATATACTAATTGTATTATTTGTATCTCTGATATCTCGTAACTTACAAATTACTCCTCTCTTCAAAAGAAAAGATGCTACTACGAATAATAAAGGAAGCAGTTTAGTCATTTCAACAACATTAATTTAACTGCAGGTGTTTGAACTTCTCAGTTTTACTTCCATGAAATTTGCAAACCAGTGAAACAAGTTCTGTTTTACTTATGTTGACAACATTAATACAATGCAGGAAGACTGTTAGTGAAATAATAACAATTTGGCCTCTTTTTTTGTTTTTTGTTTCAAGATACACAGAATTTAATGTTTATATATTCAGCCATGAATATAGTTCAGAAGGACTAGTTGAAGAAGCCTCTGTACTGTTAGTAATTATCTTTGCAAATACACAATGATCAGAGAAAATCCCAGAAGAATTTTTTTCTTGGCATGTTTTTCCAAAAGAAAAGGAGGTTCAGCAGAATCAGAAATCAAACAAACGAAAAAAAAAATACTGACATACTAGAGCATGTATTTTAGATAAACAATATGGGTATCTAGAAGAGATTACAAATAAAAAGCATAGACTAATGAGAGCATAATATACTACAGCAATCGCATTTCCTCTTTTTTAATAAGACCTTTAAGTTGCTAGATATGTAGTAAATACACTAAAAACCTTCAACACTACATCACACAACACTTCCAATGGTGAGGGGCAAAGAGTGTGGGGTGAAAACAATCACCATCATACATGTAACTGAAAAATCACCCTCATTTATCAGGTGATGCTTGGTATCAAACTGTGAAGCTATTTCTTAGAGAATACTGTATGGCTCTGCATCACATCTAATGAAAATATCAGATAGGATCAAATGGCTCTGCATCACATCTAATGAAAATATCATATAGGATCAATCAAGGACAACAGAACAGAGATTCCCCTTTAAATCAGCAACTCATTTTATAAGCACTTTTGTAAGCACTTTAAATCAGCAATACTGAATTTGCCAGCACTTGAGAAGATGGAATCACAATTCAAAGTGACTGACGCATCAGAGAGATGCTCTGAAACTGGAAAGACTAAAGTAAGAAACCGAGTGCAGGAAAGAGCTTCAATTCATAAGTCTGTAAAATCCCATTTTTAGTAATGACTAGGCAAGCACTATGGTAGAAAAAGATGCAGAAGTTAGAGTGGAAAACAAAGTAGATGTGAGACAGTGACTAAGTGAAACAACACCACACATTCTATTTCATGTTAATACAAGAATCAGAGCAGGAATCATTCTGCTTTACTCCAAACTGCCCACTGAACAACTGCACAGCTGAAACACTGTGGTCACTACAGTCCTCCCGACGTGAACAAATACACAGGCTAACTCAGACCAAGAGAGAAGTAGAATGCACAGAAAAGGAGAAGAAAGAACTTTCTCAGGCAAAGTCAGACAGACTCTAGTTAGCCTAGAAAAAGGAGATGAAGGGCAACATAACATTTTCCAGTGCTTAAAAAAGCTGTTATAAAAGGAGCTGTGATCAACTATATTTTGTGACCCCCAACAGAAAGACAAGTCAACTCAATCTACAGCAAAAAACCCCACCGACTTAATATTCTCCAAAACGCCTCAGTATAGTGAGCAATCTGAAGAATTTATCTAGGAATACTGTAGAATTCTTATGGGGAGTAGGGTGGGTTTTTTTGTTTCCAATATCACCTGTGAATTACGTTTGTCTTGATCTTTCCCATCAATTACTTACACTTCAATTTTTAATAAAACTTGAGCTAAACAGAATTAATTTTTACAATCTGAGAACATTTATAATATTAATAACATTAATAACCAGACAACAGGTTTCCCTGATGTACACCTTAAAAAAAAATATATCAGAATTAGCCACAAAACAGTCATTTTTTCACTTTGAACTAAATACTCTTTTAATTAAAAGGAAGTAAATGTCAGCTAAGTTTTTTGTCTCACTGCACATTTAGAATAAATTTTGAATAGAACCCAAATGAGTCTCAATACCCTTATAAACATGACCAAAAATATATCATATTGATGTTTTTAAATTTAGGCAATAATTTACTGTTATGGTTTGAGAAAACCCACAACAATCTATTGTCGTTTAGACAATTATTCTATTACCCAATGACCCCTCCCCACCTGGAAAGGGGAATCGGGGAACACAAAGAAACACAAGAGTTGAAATATAAATGGATTTAATAGACTAAGACTAAATAATTAACAATACTACTAAAGAACCGGTATTACTCCCGATACTGATATAAGATATACAAGAATTACATTCAGCTAATTACATGAGTACGAAGCTGTGCACTCCCAGCAGGGACAGCAAATGGCGGACACTGTGAGCGCAATGGCGTCAGGAGGAAGGGAAGGCCTCAGGGGTCCGGCACCGGGGCAAGGAACTAACTGGATCGCTGCCATCAAGGGAGAGAGAGCTACGCAGCAAACTTTTCTAATTTATATTGAATGTGACGTTCATGGAACGAAATAATCCTGTTGGCCAGCCTGGGTCAAATGCCCAGGCCTTGCTCCTCCTTGTCCCTGCACCTGGCAAGGCTCGAAAACACTAAGACCTTGAATCCCACAGAGCCTGGCTGGCTATAATGTAAATATTTTCACAAATTCAGACACTAGAGTCTTCTAGAAGTGCAATTTTCCCCAGCATTAGAAGAAAAGTTAGTCCTGTGTCTCTCAACCCAGGACATCTACTTTAGGACAACCTGAAATAAGGCATGTTTAAGTAAGACACTATTACATTTTACAAAAACCCCTCAAGTTGAGCAACAGTGTTGCCTAAAGAATTAATTTCTTTTCAGTGATGAACATAGATAGAACATACCTTATCGTGTCCTGTATCTCCTCCTCTTACAATATCTGGAGCCATGTATTCTATTGTTCCACAGAAGGAATATGCTCTCTCATTCTAGCAAAAAGAAAGAAAAAAAAATTCATGTCAAACAGTTGTATTATACAAATCACAGGGGACAGATATGGCTAACAGTTCCAAGATGCTGGCAGCATTCTTCTCCAAATAGCTCAGAACTGCTAGCTAAATCCTATTCCATCACATGTAGAGATGTATCACATAATGCTATGGAATATTTACAGTCTTCTATGAAAAAATAAAATGTCATAGGTTTGTGTGGCAGTCTAAGATAAGCACACAAAAATTAAAGTATTGCTATTTTAACAACTTTCCCATAACTCTAAATGATCTAAATGTTTCAGAACTACCCAAGATTCCCCAAGGTAATATAGACACACATTCTGAAGGCTGCAATATCAATACTCTAGACAACAAATGAAACCTTTCCATTAAAAAGAGCATTTCATTGTACGATGTACAATTTGACTAAATTAGATACAAGATCCTTTGGGTTCCCCATATTTAGGAATTTACTATGACCTCTAGAAAAGTAATTTTCTTTCGCAACACACACATAGATAAAAAACACAACATTCTCTCAAGAAGAGACTTGGAGAGAGACGAGAGAGAGAAAGAGAAAGGCAGACAGACAGACAGAGTTGTAAATTTAATTTTATTCTACACACTGAAGTTATTGCCTTGATTATGCTCAAGACTAAGCTGCTTTCACAGGCATGTATTAATTGTTCCCTGTTAGCGATTTACCTTTGAGGTCAACATGAGGTCATGCTGTACCTTGCTAATGACGAAAGCACATGTGTTTGGGCCATGCAAGACTGTTCCTCCCTTATCCTTCAAGCTTCTAGCATTTTGGGGAGAGATGCTGACAGGTCCTTTAAAGAAGAGTGTTCAAAAAAGCAAATATTTCAAAAGTCAGGTTTTACATTTGTAGATTCAGATTTGGAGTTTAAAACAGGTGCTATATAAGAGAATGTACTACACTAATGAGAGGAAGCTCTTAAAAGTAGAAACAGTGCTCGGTGCTACCCTGAGGCATAAAAATTAAAACAGTCCAACAGCATATTATTCAACTGTATTTATTAAAATACATATACTGTGACTGGTTTGGGGGGTAAAAGTCTAAGTTCAAAATAGTTAAAGGCCTCATTTTGCTCAAATATTAACTTGAAATACTAACTTCTGTGACAAAAACCGTAAAATAATAAACTTTTAATGATTCTACTTTCTTTTGACACAACTATTGTTCCTCTTTGATTATCTTTTCCAGAAAGTGTTATCTAAAAGAAAAATAGTGTGAAAAAAAGCAAAAACCCAAAAAAAAACTTGTCAGAAATTCTTAGCTCTCCATCCTGGCATAAGCCAAACTAAAGCTATCCATGTATCCCTCTGTGCAGTTTTCCTTCAGCTGAGAGGGAGGGAGGGGGAAGGAAGGGGAAGAAGGAAAAGGAATGGGAGTGAAAAATACGAAATGAAACTGTTCTTCACTTGCTACCTCTTCTGAAGAAGGAGGATAATGCGGCTTGAGATTTATGAAACCAATTTATAACGCTTATATAGCAAAAGAAATGGGTGAAACCCACTATTATTTAATTCGCTGCAAATTCAGCAAATCAGCTGCAAAATTATGTCTTTTTTTGTTTCCACACTGTGGTAATACAGCTCAGCTAAAAAATACTACAATGACAAGAAACAGACTGGGGAGTTGTACAGAAACAGATACGGTGGTACAGCAGAACCCTTCTGATCTCAGGTACCCTTTGCTAGCAAAAAGACCCACTAAAAACACTGCAAAACATGCACAATTATTAGTAGTAGCTTTTTTAAGGAACAATTACAATCCTTAATAAACATACCTAGTGGTTCTGATTTTCAATTATATTTACTTTTTACCTTTTACAATCATTTTAGCTTTTAATATGAAAGATGGAATTTCTGAAACAATATTTGAAAATTAATTTTATTTCTTTCTTAAATTCATGTCCGAGGTATATTTTGTCCCTTCCATGCAGTGTTTAAAACCCCCCAAAAAATTGTGTAAGTTTAAAAAATTGGTATTGTATCATTTAAAATAATTTCTTATAATTAAATTTTAATATGAAGAACTCATACTGTAAGTCACAAACAAGCATTTATAAATTGAAAACACTCTGGGATATATTTGTAATGAAATTTATAAAACCCTCAACTTCTCATCCACAGAGGTAAGCACTTGTATCCCTTAGCTCTTGCTTCCTTTCCAGTTTGGAAGTGCTCTATTGCTGAAATTCAAGGCTGAACAGAGCTGAGAACAAAGCAGATATGTTCTTAGCAAGAAATTTAGGAAATAGGAACTCAGCATTAGGTAGGGGAAAAAAAAGGACCAACTGAGCATCTTCTTCACAATTCACACTGATTTGCCATTACATTCTGGTTCCAGAAGCCCTGCTGGAACCAGTTTATGGCTGTTACAGGGTGACCATTAAGACAAAACACTCCAATACCAACTATTTATAGGTTTTTACGCAACCACACAAAAAAACTCAGAGGACCCCAGCACTCCCCAGAACATGAACAAAGCCAACTGCCTGAAAGCAAAGCATTCTCGCTCCACTGAAAAGTGACAGATTTGCCTTAATAAGACGCCACAAGAAGACCTGACTTCAGCCAGTAGAGGACACAAGGTCTGGATACTTCTTTGTTTGACACCTCTGTTCAGGTCGTCTTTTGTTGAAATTACAAGTCCCACCAACCACATCTGGCTGTTCCTTACAGAACACAGATTTTGTAGTATTAAGTTTCCCTAGGAGCACTTATGTAAATTTGTCATGGTTAAACTTGCTTTTTACAGGGAGTCACTTATCGTCTTTACTGTTATGCATTATATGTGGGTTTAAAACCATTTCCAAAGAATGTTACCTCTAATAATAGTTTCCTCTTTTGTCCTGTTCTGGACTCCCCAATACAAGAAAGACACAGATATACTGGAGACAGTCCAACAATGGGCCACTGAGAAGATTAAGGTACTGAAGCAGCTGAAGAAAGGCCGAGCAAGCTGGGACTGTTCCACCTGGAGGAGGGAAGGCTCAAGGGGATCTCATCAATGTAGAGAAGTGCCTGAAGGGAAGGTGCAAAGAAGATAGAGCCAAGTTCTTCTCGTTAGTGCCCAGTGACAGGACCAGAGGCAATGGGCACACACTGAAACACATAGAGGTTGCCTCTGAACATCAAGAAACACTTTTTTCCTGTGAGGGTGACTGAGCATTGGCACAGGTCACCCATGGAGGTGGTGGAGTCTCCCTCCTTGGAGATACTCAAAAGGCTCCTGGCCATGGTCGTGGGCAACTGGCTCCAGGTGATGTGTGTTTGAGCCGAGGGAGTTTGGACCAGGTGACCTCCAGAGGTCCCTTCCAACCTTAAACATTCTGTGACAAAAAGTCACTGGAAGTGGTATTCCACCATTCATTTCTGAAATCACATTTCACTCACAAATCAGGCATGCAGTTCTCCCCCCAAAATTTCAAAAACCACAATCAAACCCCATGTTGTATGTTGCCTCTCCCCTTAAATTTACATTTCATTCAACCTTTATAACATAAATCCAAACTCCAGAATCCACATTTTTAACACTTCCCTGTTATGAGATGTAAGGCAAGAAAGGAAGTTATTCCACAACACCTAGACTTGGGTCATCTACAGGTAAATTCTCATCGAATGTGCACATCTTGCAAATATTCAAGCTTAAGAATTTTTTGCCGAAGGCAGAATGCTCACACCTGCAACGTTTTGGTTCCCTCTTCTGAGTTGCAGAACAGCAAACTGACACTAAAGGAAGGAAATGGAAGCGTGGCGAACCCATCTTTAATAACTCCCTATGAGGATACTGTCCATCAAGAGAAATGTACAAGCCATAGAAACACTAAGCAGAAATGCATCCATCTGTTGCCAAATTAGCTGCTTGTACAAAAGACAGACTGAGCAAACTGGAGCATGCCATCTGACCATTAAAAAACGGGAGCAAAAACATGAACAAAGAAAAAGATCAAAAGGAAGTCTTCAAAATCCACAAGATTTTGTTTCAGAGGCCCCTCGAACAAAACAAAAACACATCAAAGCAAAGCACCCAAACAAAAACATGAAAGAAGACTACAGAGGTGTGAATGCTGAAAATACTAACACAGGTAAAACACAATAAACAAAAAAACCTACTTCTGGAAAGAAAAAACAGATGCTCCATCTAGAGCTTCCCCTTCTCCTACCCGTCCCACCATGGGGGCAGCGAACAAGCACCCACCAGGTTAAACCACAACAGGAATATCCCACGTACACTTTTATACGTGAGCATCAGGGCCAAGGAGAGCACCCATTTGCCCTACAAACATTGATTTGGGAAAATGCTTCAGAGCTTGAACATTTGTGATTTCATCTCCTAAGTGTGAATGTGGATATGGAAAGCACTCAAGTGTCTTAATGCAGTCATTCTGCCATTTAAAGACATATTATTGAATGTTTAAATATATGGTCTTTGAAGCGTATCTTCAACTTGACAAACTGCATTTGGACAACATATGCCCCTGCTCTAACAGAGACTTGGGTCCTACAACCCCATGGCTTATTTTAGTCACTACAGTCTTTGTGCAAACAGATTTTAGCTAGAGAATTAGCCAAGTATTCACTGAAACCATTCTTTTCAGTGTTCACAATTAGGACCTGCTCCTCCAACTACATGAAAAGTCACCTTTGAAATGAAACAGGCTGCTTCTCCAACTACTTAATGCACAAATAGTTTGTTCTTAACTGAGCTGGACTACTACCCTGAGCATCAGATATGACACGCTCTGAATATTCTTTCAAACCCAACTTCTTAAATGAATTCTGGAGATTAAAAAAAAAAAAAAAAAAAAAAAAAAAAAAAAAAGACTCTCCACAAGTCTGCTGAAGAATTCTCCAGTCCAGACAAGAATTATTTACTGGTTCTTGTCACATTTTTGTTATGGAGAAACAATAGAATTACCATGCATGTCCTGGCTGGGTTCTTCCACAGATTTCAACAACAGCCT